CTGTGGGAACCAATTACTCAAATCTATTTAATCTAACTACCCTTGGTTTGCAAAGTCTATTCATTTTTTCTTTCAGTGCATAGAATTCTCCCTTTTGTTTTAGCATACCTTACTTTTGATATGTCGCATAAATGTCTTTTTGTGTCCATTTGACTTAAGGTGGTCTGCTAAAACACTAAGGTGCTGCCTCTAAGTCTTTTCTATGGCAGGGAAAACTCTGCCCTAACATTAAGTGAAGTTGTCACCCTGAAATTCAGTGATATACATGGTGGACACAAGCCTGCAGTCACCAGAAGAAAGGCCAGGTCTCCACAGTGTGAATAATTCTGGGTGCAAACACACACACACACACACACACAGTCAACATACTTTGAGCTTTTTTGTTGTGGAGTTAGACATGAAGCACTGTATTAAATTAGTTTGACTCAGTAGCAAACAGCCCACCCTGTCCTACTGTATTCTGTTGCAGGAAGATATGTCTGATCTAAACGCACAACTCTGAAACTCAGTCTTTGCACTATGCTCTATGGCTCCGCTTTTTCCTTTGCATAGGAAGGGCTTGTTTATAGCTTTTTGACAGGGAGTTTGAGAGAGTGGGAAGAAGCAGAGTTAGGTGACCTCTCCACTTCTTGGCAGACTTTTTTTTTCTTAAGAATATGGTCAAACTGTACATATTGTATTTTATTTACACCTGGAAAAATCTGATCAACAAGACCACCTCCAGAATGTGATCCCATTCTGGAAGAGTTGTGCATTTACAAAGGCTGGTAGTTTTTCCTTATCCAGAAAAGATACCCAGATACATCTAACATGTTAGTGTGACAGTGCAGCACAGTGGGTAGGTATAACAGGCCTAAACTTTAGGCCAACTTAATAGATTCCAACAATACCTCCCAGGGAAAGTTTACTCCCAGGAAAATTTTTACCCAAAAAGGCCCCCAGCTACATATCACTGACGGGCAGAGACAGGCTTCACTTCAAACAATTTAGAAGGTAAAAGCGCAGCTCAAACACAGAGGAAGGGGATGTCAAACAATGCAACAGCTTGATTAGGTGGTAAAGACAACGCTGCACTCAGCAGCTTTTGCACAGAGCACAAAGCAGCTAGCCTTACTAAGTAATTTTCCCACAAGACAAGATGTGCCGATCATCCATGCAGCATGCCACCACCCAACCATATGGCTTCAAGGGAAATAAAGAAATACACCTGATTGAGTGCTCCCATAGATGAACCCTGACAGCGCTGCCCAGCAATCAACACACAGGTGCAGTAATCTGATCCAACCCGAGGATAGTTAACTCGGCAGAGAGAAAGAAAACCTACTCTGCCACATTAGCAGATGGGAAACATTACATCTCTTCAGCATGTTTCAGTAGAAAGGTCAGCTCCACTGTGTTGTTCAATCACAGTGGCCAAGATGCAGTACAGAGAGAAGCTGAATGGCTTCTATTCTACTGCTGACTCCGGACTCATGTGGCAAGGCCTGCAGCACATCACAGACTACAGGACCACCACCAGCATCATCAGCACCAAAGACAGCCTGCCGGATGACTTCAACACCTTCTACACCCGCTTTGAGAACTCCAGCTACAGCACAGAGAGGAGGCACACACACACCGAGACCACCCAACCCCCCACCTCCCACTGTCTCACTAGGCCAGGTACGCACAGTCCTGAGGAAGATCAACGCCCGCAAAGCGGCAGGACCGGACAACATCCCTGGGAGGGCTCTCGGCGCATGTGCCAGCGAGCTGGCTGATGTTGTCACCCCCATCTTCAATCTCTCTCTCAGCCAGAGCATCGTTCCCACCTGCTTTAAGACCACAACCATCGTTCCCCTTCCCAAGAAGAGCCCAGTTACAGGCCAGTGGCCAGTGGCACTCACCCCAATCATTATGAAGTGTTTTGAGAGAGTGGTGCTGGCCCGCATTCAGAGCAGTATACCAGACACCCTGGACACCCTGCAGTATGCCTACCGGCCCAACAGGGCCACCTCAGACACCATGGCGGCTGCATTCCACTATTCCCTTTCTCACCTGAAAAAACGAGACTCCTACATCAGGATACTCTTCATTGACTACAGCTCCGCCTTCAACACAGTTGTCCCCCACAAACTCACCCACAAACTGTCCACACTGGGTCTGCACCCCACCCTCTGTGACTGGCTCCTGGACTTTCTGACTGGCAGGCCCCAGACTGTCAGGACTGGCAATAGG